TTGAATGGTGCTGAAAAGAAGATGGTTGATGAAATTTACAGATAGTTACAACTGGTACTTCCTCAATGAACACATTAAGCTAAATTGATGTCAATGAAGACTAAGTTAAGATATATGAAAGGTGAAGAAAGGTCAGGATCAACAGCTGGGAGGGATCACTCATCAACTCATTATTCATAGAATCGTGCGGGGTTCAGCCCGTCTAGTTTACACGTGCACGATTATTTATGCTTATCACACGAATGGTATCGTGTAAGTAGACGTGGATGATTAATTTTTAAGTTTTACTTTTATTAGAAATATGTATATAATGTTTCCAACTTTAATTATAATGTTGAAAAATTAGACATGAAAAAAACATGATTATTTTAAACTCTATCATTAAACTTTATTTACAATATTTAAGGTTATACGAAACGAGATATTAATGGTTTTATTGATGGAATTTTTATTTATAATATCATCTAAAAGCTATAATTAATTTACATAATATATCTTTTATAATATTCGTATCAATTGTACCTTTGACACGAGATCTTAAAAATTTCATAAAGATATGAGGTTCTGTCAGTAATTTTTAAAGGTGTACCCCCTCGTGTATGAGGAGTAACTTATGTTAATATTATATAGAACCTATGAAAAATGTAACTGATGTTAAATACATATCAGAACATCCATATAATATAAAACAGATGTTAAATATTTTTATATAAAATATGGCAAAGTATAACATTAGAGAAAGGAAATATCTTACAATAACATTCCCTTTCCCCTTTATATATATATATATAACTTCCTTAAACTGATTCTATAATGTTTTATAAAAGATAAAGTATGAATTACAATATATATATATTTTGGGAATGGATTAAATAATTTATTTACTCTTTTTCTAGAGGGATTGTATGTGTTATAAATATTTATAAAAGAAAGAGTGATGTATAATATTTTTGTAGAATGGATGTAATGCGTTTTTTTAAGTGTACGGAGTGAATTGTGCTTTTTTATGTGGAACAGGATGCAATTCTTTCATACACAGCTTTAATATTTTTCAAATATTCACTTACAATGGAAAAAAATTATTATTACGTAGAACGGTAAGGATTTTCTGTGATTAGAAAATAGTGATTTACAAAGATACCAATTGATAGAAATCTGCGATTTAGTGGATGCCAAGTGATTATAATCAATCCAATGATTTTAGAGGGTATCACACGATTAGAGCATTGATCTTAATGTCACGTGATTATACCTAACTGCACTTACAGGAATGCAATTCGTGATTAGAAACTATAGATTCAGTAGCTGTCAAGTGATCGAAAGACGAGTTGAAATGCCAAAATTCTAACTGTAAAATAACGAATGTGTATTACTGTAAATGAATTTGATCCTTACATAAACGATAAGCAGAGTTATCGATTCATGTAAATTGTGGTTACGTGAGGATTAACAGTAAACCAAGTATGTTTAATTCCGATTATTAAAGTGTATATAGTTTAGTTAAAATTGTAAATTAAAAAAAAAAAAGTGTATCAGTAAAATTGTTACGCCAAACGTTAAAAACAAATTATGCCTTTCATGTCTTTATAAATATCAAAAAAATACCAAAATCGATTATTCGATTTCCTTTAAATCGATAAATTGCATTCTGCCGTTGTGGAAAATTGTATATCACGATATTTATAGACAATATGATATTTCTACGACCAAAAAAAAGCGACATAATAAATTTTAAATTGAATATTTTCTTCTTTGTTTTTTACTTCTTTCTTACGTTTGAAATTGGCAGAAGTAGCAATAATTTCCTTTTTCCTGGAACATAGACAGACGAGAGAGAAAACTCTTGATTAATTACTCTTAAATGGATCAACTTACAGGACAAATTGGATCATTGACAGTATTTTTTTTCCTGTATTTTTTTTCTCTTTTATGTAAAGAAAATTCAGTGAAATTGATCAAACGAGATTAGATCAAATGATTGAATAATATTAACTCGTAAATGAAACATAGCACTTATGAGCAAATACTTATTAAAATACAGTGACAAACAAGAGAATAAGCTGTAAAAATATGTATGAATTTTCATAATTCAAATCAGTGATTCATAAAGAGGGTACTTCTTCCCCCCTTGAGAGCAATAGAAGACTTAAGGGAGAAATTGCTTGGAGCTCCAACCAATAGTGGACCCCAAACCGATCTTCTATAAACTCACTACTGTACTAAAATTATCGAAATATAAACTTGGGCCATATCTGAGGACCCTAGATTGCCGGTGTGGTGCAGGCACAAGTTGCACTGGCACAGAGCAGAGGTCGCGTTACGAAACGATCGAGGATATCGGGGGATACCCCCAAATTTTCTCCGAAATAAACGTTTTAAATCAACGCTGTACATGGGACCCCTTAATTCAAAATTTTCTGGGGATCCATAAATCTATAATGCGCCACTGGCTGTGGAAGACAAGAGATAAAATTTAATTGAATTTAATTATATGCACTAAAAAAGACAGTAGTCTGAAAAGTTTAAAAAACACCAGTGGCGCGTGATCCCGTGGGCAAAAATGGCAATTTTCTAGGAGTCCCCCACCGAAAGGGGCCCAAACCATTCTTTAATAAAAAAAATTTCTGAAGTCAACATTGTACATGAGGCCCCTAATTCAAATTTGCCTGTGCCCCCACGAAGCTATAACGCTCTAATGGGAAGCAATGCTGTTAAATGTCGTTTTTTTTTTTTTTTAGAATTAAATAAAACCAACAAAATCAATCAATGATAAATAATAAATATTGTACCATAATATACTTTTCTATTGTGATCGATAACAATAAAATATATTATTAATTATTATTAAATCCTTACTATTTACATAAGTACAATATTACATAATGCCTGAAGGTACTTCATTTTACAAACGACCATATTATGAACGTACATTAGTTAAGTAGCTGCAGGGGGATTAATGAAATGTAACATAATTCATTACATTAACAATAGAATTTGCTTAAGAAAAGGATAATATTTGAGAAACTTCTGAAAAATGTAACAAAGTTGAGTATTTACAACTAAGTAACTGTGATGTGTTGAATGTAAGTAGAGATTTATTAAAAAGATTGCAGAATTAAATTATTCCCGTCTTTTTTTTATGTATGTATACACAACGATACGCGATAACAGAGAAGTTATAATATTTCTCCAGTTAAATAATTACTAGGCATTACTATATTAACTTAATATATTATTAAATTTAATAAATATTTAGCGCTTGAAGGTACATTGCTGTATAAAAATCTGAATTATTTATATGAGTCTTGTGAATTTAATTAAGAAATTTTTATATAAATAGCAATTATTTTTCTTAAAATTACACTTTTTTTAGTTTTATCATATTTTACATATTTTAATATTTAATTTTAAAAAAATTAACTGCTTTGTTAATACTTTTAAGCTGTAACATGTTACAAAATAATAATAAATACTAAATTAATTTTATTATGTATTTCTATGAAAAAATAGATAAATTATTCTTTAGTGTTTTCTTTTATATCTGTCCATTTATCTGCAGACAGACAGACTGACAGTGAAATAAAAACAGCAGGAGATCTTTCTGTATGAACTTTTCTATGAATTTATAGGGTCTAAGAACTCCAAAATTTTATAAAAATACATTTCTAAACTGTTATTACTACTCATTAATGTGTTAGAAAACGATATTCATGTTAAATTTTCCATGATTTTTGAATGAATTTTAACTAAATTAGTATTATTTGTATGCATTATAAAATTATACGCTCCCATAAAAACAAAATGGAGAATTGAATAAATTTTTTTATTTTTCTTTTTACATTTTAAAATTCCAAATTAATATTTATAAACTTTATTAAGATTCATTTACGAAAAATTGTTTTTTTTCCATATAATAGAGTAAAACCTGTCCAAAACGGAACCTGTTAAAGACGGAAATCTAACCAAACGGGAAAAATTCTTCGAAACGAAACAATTTTCTATGTTAAAAAGAAAACCTGTTCAAAACGGAAACCTGTGAAACCGGAAAAACATTCAGAAACGTGCCATTCCGCTTTACACAGGTTTAACTGTACATATCTATCGAACCATATATTAGTGAAAGATACTTACATTAAAACCTGCGTAAAACGGAATCGCACGGTATAGATATTTTTTCCGGTTTGGCAAGTTTTCGTTTTTAACAGGTTTATTTTTAATAAAAAAATCGTTTCGTTTCGAAGAGTTTTTCCCGTTTAGACAGGTTTTACTTTATTTAATTCTTCAAATATTTTTTGGTTTTTGAGTCAGCTCCTTACTTTTGGGCATTTTTGCATTGGAAATTGTATATACAGTATACGTGAAGATATTTATGACAATTGGAAATGATAAATTAATAATGACAAATTAAATAAATAAATAAAACTCAAAAATTTATATTCCACGAGGCATAATTAATATAAATGTAAAAGTAAAGTATATACACAATTCTATTCGAAATGTTCAAATTATATTTACCAATGTTTAACCGATTCAATAATTAATTAGTTAATTTACATGTTTAATAACGCACCGTTGATTAGAATTGACAGACAAGAATTATTAAACGCTGAATTAATTTAGGAAAATGAATGAATTAAACCAGTATTAACCGGTTTAAGTCACTTTAAAGTACATTAATTTTGTTTATGTCATACTTATTACTTATTTGTACAATGATTGTACTAAGCAAAAATTACTAATTACAGCAAAACCTGTTCAAAACGGATCCTACGTAAACAGTAAAAAGTTCTTCGGAACGGAACGATTTTTCTACGTTCAAAAAAAACCTGCCTAAGACGGACATCTTTTCGGAACGGAATAAATGTTTTCTGTTTTCAAAAAACCTGTTTAAAACGGAAACCTGCCAAACCAGAACAAATATTTGACACTGTGAGATTCCGGTTTACACAGGCTCTACTATAGATTTCTTAATATTATTTATTATTCAGGTAATTTGTAAAGCCGAAGAAAGAGATGTAATGTTGAGAGCATTGAAACTTAAGAAAGATGTATTCTCAAGATATTACCTGAATGACGAATTCGAAGACGTTGAATTCAATTTCAATTTAATCGATGATGTTCTGATTGGATATCCATTTTCTGTAATTTTATTTAAATAATTTTCAAATGACTTTTAATTATTTTATTAATTAATCGTAATTAATTGTTGTAGGTACGACTAAAGGCCAAAAATAAGAGTGCTGAAAAATCTTACACCATCAAGGTTATTCTTCGAGTGGATACCGTGTTATATACTGGAGAAATAAAGAAGCAATTAAAAAAGGAAAATTATAAATTTGTATTAAAACCTTTTAAAGGTATACAAATTCTCATTCTANACGAAAAAAAAAAATGTGGCGGAACGGAACGATTTTCTACGTTAAAAAAACCTGTTAAAAACGGAAAAAATATTCGGTACAGCGAGATTCCGGCTTACATAGGATTAACTGTATATTATAAGATTTATTAAAAACAATTTATTATATACAAACATCACGTATCTTTGGTATAAAATTAATAAAATTTATTATAATATATTCTTTTAATTATAATTTATTAAACAATTCAAGAGAATTTTAATATAAAATTTAGTTGAATTCTCAATTTTATTCATAATATAGAATTAAATAAATCTTGAAAAATATGGCTCCATTCCAAAATTTAGAAGGGAGGAAAGTAAAGGAAGAAAAAAAAAGGAAGGGGGGAATTTCTTCTCTTAGATTATTGAGACGAATTTTCTGTCTCATCAAATCGTCTATTAGTCAAGTTAATTATTATTGAAAGAGTATCTAAGGATACGTCTGTTTGTCTGACCTTATAAAAACTTCATAAATCGAGATAACAAGTTTAAAAGTTTTTCCACTATAGAAATGAGTTTTATACATAGAAAAATGAATTAAAATTAGTTTAAAAACAGGATTTTATTTTTTATTCGTTTTTTTGTAAAGCTCAGAATTACAGTAAAATCTGCTCAAAACGGAAACAATATTCTTAACCGAACAATTCCGGTTTAGACAGGTTTTACTGCACTGTATATGTAAAAAAATAATGAAAAATTTCAGAGAATTACACTCGCAAACATTCACAAATTAGAAATTTTTATTATTGCACCACTATTTCTTCTATTATTGATTAGAAGTCAGAACACGCAAAAGCAATATGCAAATAAATGTTTCATTTAAATAAACATAATAATTTTCAAGCAAAATCTGATAAAAGTAATACAAAATTTAATGCAATAAATCTTAAACACAATCTAATACAATAATTTCTAAAATCCTTTAAACGGTTAAACGAAGATTAACCGTTTANTCAATTTTATTCATAATATAGAATTAAATAAATCTTGAAAAATATGGCTCCATTCCAAAATTTAGAAGGGAGGAAAGTAAAGGAAGAAAAAAAAAGGAAGGGGGGAATTTCTTCTCTTAGATTATTGAGACGAATTTTCTGTCTCATCAAATCGTCTATTAGTCAAGTTAATTATTATTGAAAGAGTATCTAAGGATACGTCTGTTTGTCTGACCTTATAAAAACTTCATAAATCGAGATAACAAGTTTAAAAGTTTTTCCACTATAGAAATGAGTTTTATACATAGAAAAATGAATTAAAATTAGTTTAAAAACAGGATTTTATTTTTTATTCGTTTTTTTGTAAAGCTCAGAATTACAGTAAAATCTGCTCAAAACGGAAACAATATTCTTAACCGAACAATTCCGGTTTAGACAGGTTTTACTGCACTGTATATGTAAAAAAATAATGAAAAATTTCAGAGAATTACACTCGCAAACATTCACAAATTAGAAATTTTTATTATTGCACCACTATTTCTTCTATTATTGATTAGAAGTCAGAACACGCAAAAGCAATATGCAAATAAATGTTTCATTTAAATAAACATAATAATTTTCAAGCAAAATCTGATAAAAGTAATACAAAATTTAATGCAATAAATCTTAAACACAATCTAATACAATAATTTCTAAAATCCTTTAAACGGTTAAACGAAGATTAACCGTTTAAAACCACTCCTTAAAACACAAGAAACCAATAAAATAAATGGGAATTTTGTCATAACAATTAAACATATTAAAACAAAAATTTAATTAATTAAAATTACAAATAAATTGCTATGAAACCTGTATAAACCGTAATCTCACAATATCGAATACAGTTTTACTGGTTATTTAACGTAGAAAATCATCTTATTCCGGCTGTCCGGCATAAGCAGGTTTACGTTTTATTCAGATGCCGTTCTGGATAGGTTTTACTGTTTTATATTATATTAATTTAAATTACAGTAAAACCCGTGTAAACCGGAATCTCGTGGTACTGAATATATTTTCCGGTTTAAAAGGTTTCCGTTTTAAACAGGTTTTTTTGAATGAGTGCCTAAGAATTTATACCGTTTAGACAAGTTTTCGTTCTGGACAGGTTTTACTGTTGTATTTTCATATTTTTAATATTTTCAATTAAAGTAAAACCTGTGTAAACCGTAATATCACGTCATCGAATATTTTTCCCTAGCGCAGGTTTCCGTTGTAAACAGGTTTATTATTTAAACAGAAAAGTTGCTCAGTCTCGAAGGATATTTTTCGTTTTATTCAGTGTACCGTTTTGGACAGGTTATATTTTTATATTTTTAATCTATTCAATTACAGTAAAACCTGTGTAAACCGGAATCTTACGGTACCGAATATTTTTTCGGGGCTTCTTTCTAACGTAGAAAATCGACCCGTTCCAAAGTTTGTCTTTGTTTAAACAGGTTTCCGCCTTAGGCAGGTTCCGTTTTAGACAGGTTTTACAATTTTACAAACCGACGAAGAATAAACCATTAAACTATTATATTTGTATCACGTTACCTCAATTAAATCAAATTTATAACTTGACCTAATTCTGTAATTTAATTTCCATTCGACTGCACGTAAACTAAGATTTTTAAATAAAATTTGAATTCAATAACATGCTTTTTAACTTTATTTTTAAATGTAATTTCCTTTTTTTATTACAATTCCTCAATTAAATCAAATTTATAACTTGACCTAATTCTGTAATTTAATTTCCATTCGACTGCACGTAAACTAAGATTTTTAAATAAAATTATTGATAAAAAACACGAAATTAATTTAAAATGAAACGTCTGATGATGATACTAATGATTAATGTATCTTCTAAGAATTAAAGCTATCGAAAATATATTAAAAATTTGATAAATTTTCTACAATTATTCGATTTAACACAATTAAAAACAGGAAATTATATTAAGTAGAAGGAAATTGTAAGAAAAAAATCGATTTTACGAGTGGCTGCTTACATTTCTTTCGGTTAGAAAAATTTCCTTTACATTTTTTTTTATTTAGTTTCATATTGTTTATTTTGTACTGACGTTTGGAATCATAAATTTTAAAAATTTCACTAAATCATTGTCAAAATAAACAGCCTATACAAGCAGTAAGCTAACCTTTCAATAGGAGATTCCTGATAGAATACGATTGTAGTAATCAATCATTCAAAAAGAAAAGAAAATCCATTAGTCAGAGCAGCTCTTGATTCAAACGTTGAAGTCAATCACTTAAAATTTTTAGAATATTTTCTCAGGAAAAAAATACCCTATTCAATAAACAGTCGAGTAGATCTAGGAAAACCCCTGATCATTGCCATTTCCATAAATGTCCCTGATACTGAACATTTCGTGAAGTCAGTCACGCTATAAAGTGATAAAATATATTCATGACGCTGTTCTAACCTGTAAGCTATATTCTTTTTATTGGCACAAATCGTATGTGAAAACGTATATGGCTTTACAGATTTTCATTCAAAATATCATAAGATCAACCCATTCAAAGTTTCCTTCCTCTGGTTAAAAAAAAAAACGTATTGACTCAAAAATATTGGCTGAATAATAATAAAATTGATACACTATTGCTGATAAGAACAGTTTATCTGAAAAATAGACATTTTTATCTAAAAAAGCTGATTTTTTTTTAGATATTGCTAATGCTAATTGAGTGAATTNGAAATTAAATTTTATAATTTTTTTACTTTAGTTCTCTACAATTAAATTTAATTCTTCTTCTGTGCTTAAAAAAATAAATAAATATATTTTATGCATTCGTATTTTATTTATTAAAATAAACTACAATAGAACCTGTGTTAGCTGGAATTGTACGATACCGAATACCTTTTTCTAGTTTGGAAGGTTTCCGTTTTTAACAAGTTTTTTTAAACATCAAACATCGCTCCGTTCTGAACTATTCTTCCGTTTAGACAAGTTTCCGTGTTGAACAAGTTTGTTTTTTTTTAATGTAGAAAATCGCTTTCTTCCGAACTAATTTTTCGTTAGACAAGTTTTCGTATTAAACAGGTTTGTCTTTCCAGCATAGCAAATCATTCCGTTCTGAACTATTTTCCCGTTTAGACAGGTTTGTTTTTAACGTAAAAAAATCACTTCGTTAGAAAATTACTTTTCTGTTTAGACAGGTTTCCGTTTTAAACATGTTAAGCTGTATTTTTTTTTAATTTTTAAGTTATTCAAAATTATAAATTTAATATAAAAACATTAACACGATTTAAATTAATATATTTGTTGTGCTTAATGCAGTAAAACCTGTCCGAAACGGAACTTAATAAAACGGAAACTTGCCTAAACAGAAAAAAAAATTCTTAACACTGCAATTTTCTACGTTTAACAAAACCTGTTCAAACGAACACCTGCCAAACCGAAAAAAAAAATTATTCTGCAATGTGCGATTCCGTTTTACGCAGGTTTTTCTGTATAAAATATCTAAAACGAAAACTTGTA